TTGACACCCGATGTGCTGGAGGCTTGAGCCACACTGGGGGAAAGCTGGACTTCTAAATCCATGAGACTCCAACTTCACATCAGCCCAGGAGAATGATCCCATGGGCAGATGGAACAGGAGGAGCTCAGCTTGGGTTTAGGAGATGCTTTGCCTGTGTCACTGCAGGGTTCACAGGTGAATACAGGTGTGGGAAGGGTTGAATTTCATCACCACAGCTGCAGCTTTTCATATTCTTGTGATCTGGGAGGGTTCTTGAAAATATGAGTTGTTTAGCTACTGCTTCTGATCTATCTGAATGGTTTTTGTCTGAGAACTTCCACAGAATTTCTTTTCTGTATTTCCCTCAGAAATTTCCAGTCTAATGTTTTGATGTGATTTTTTTGTATTGTATGAATCACTTTAGTCAGGTTTACACGTAGGTGAGTGTGTACATGTGCATATAGGTCTATAATAATGCTAAAAGTTTTGGGGGTCAAAATCTGTCCTTTTTCCACCTCTCCAGGGGAACCATCTGGAATCACCGAGTCAGGTTTCTTGAGGACAGAGTCCTGAGCTCCTGGACATCATTCACCATTTGGAATGCTGGCAAGCAAGGCAAGAAGCTCTACAGAAGCTTGTCACCAGCTAATCAGAAAAAGGTGAGCTGGAAAGTAACATTTGTACAAACCCACTTCTTCATATGCCCCCGTGATGCTTCTCATCTAACACAGCTCAATTCCATAAGATATTTTGTCCCCAAAGTACTAGTTGATAATTAAGATAAACTGGGGCAATTCTCAATAATCTGTGTGATGTATTTCTTCTTTTAAAATGCCACCATATTTTATGTAGAGCTTATGGTGTGCATGGAGAGCAAGAAATGCACCATGTTCCTGCTGAGCACAGCAGTGGGTGAGACACAGCTCTAGTGGGCAGGTGCTCAGGTGAGTAGAGCAACTCTTGATTTGGGTTGTTGGGTACTGAGGTGCCTTGTCCAGGGTCATCCATACCTGTGTAATATTTGCCCAGCTCTAAAGTGGATACTGGACACGTCCCTGGTCACTGTGACTCCCTTTGGAAAGCTTGAATGCCAAAAAAAAGGGTTTGGTGTGGGCTGATGAGTGAGAAGAAACTGAATGTGACTGTCCCATTCACAGTCAGCTGAAAATGCTTCTATTTGGCAATGGCAGATATTTCTCAGGATAGATTTGTCCAAGTCTAAATGCCTTATTTTTATAGCATTTTCTTGTGTGCAATAACTTTGTGTTAGATAAAGGCTTTAGGGCTAATGTCAAATGGCTGTTTCTTACAAAGAGCCACAGAACATTCATTTTATTGCTTCATGTGTTTTTCTTTTCTTAAGAATATGGATGGGAAGACAGAATGACAAATACATATAAAAACCTGATTAATGTTGTGCCCCTCAGACCACACACATATAAAAAAAATAGAAGACATTTGTATACACATAGTTAAAATTACTGAATAGGCATGGGAGCCTCTCAGACAGTAAATGCACAAAGCAAAAACAGAAATTAATTTCCTGCTTGATATTCCAGTGCCATTCCAGTGCCATCCCTCAGTCATTGCCATCACATGGCAGTGGGTGAGCTATATGAAAATATATTAAATGCTATGAATCAGTTGCTTCATTCAGAGAGGGCAGACCTGTCTATTAAATATGATTTTATCTTGGTCATGCAGTGCAGTGTGTACAAGATTTTGGGTGGTTTATGAAAATATTATTTTTCATTACTGTTTGCTGAACACCTTTGGAATTTCACTGACTGGCTATGGCCACTGAGCTGACACCCAACAACCATTGTACCTCTCTCTTGAAAATTAGGAAAATTAGAAAGTAAATTCCAGGGGAAGGGATGGCAGCTTGTCTGGTAGATTTTTGAGATGTTGCAGAAAAAATAGACCATGTTGGTTTTGTAGTGGTGTCTCACCATCTCAGGTATTAGGATTTTGTTTGGTTTGGTTTTCTAGCGTTTTTTTGTACCAAGCCAAAATGGAAATTGGTGACAGAATTGGAATTGGAGACAGAGCCTCTCCCTGGCTTTGGGGTACATCTGCCACCTCCAGGACTTCATATCCCATTCAACACAGAGTGACACCTTAAAGATGTCACAGCAGAGGGGATAAAAAAGGCAAGAGAAAAATAATATTGTTGGGGTTCTGCCACTTTCGTGCCCAAGACCCCAAGCCCAGCTCCTTTCCTGGGGAATGAGCTCCATGCCCTGCTGACCTTCCCAGAGCGTTTGCTTTGGCACTGCCCAGCCTGGGACACTTCTGCTTCTCTCGAGGTTGCAGTTGCTCACATTCCAGCCTGCTTCGGGTGGATATTGAAATTCTGCACCCAGCATTAACCCCTGAGTTCCTGGGTTCAGCAAACCCAGGTGCAATTGCACAAGCCAAGTGTGGCTCAGTTTGCACATGTGCTGCAGAAAAGTGCTGTAAAATGCAGGCACAGTGCTCCTTAACACAGAGGAACCAAACCCTCCCCTCAGTCTGATGTTATCTGAAGCATTCAGGGGCCTTCTCAGTAAGAAAGAAAGATAAATCATTTCAGAAAAGGACTTGTGTCATCCTAGGTGAGATAGAGGCTTTGGGATGGTTGATTTCTGGTTAAATCAGTATTTTCTGTAGTGATTAAAACACTATTTTTAGGTATCTGTTCAGACTCATTATGATTGGCATTGTGACTTCCTAGCTTTTCCAAAGTGAGATCTCAAGTCTATCCATGTCAGCCAGGACTAAAACTTAAATAATATCCTTGTGTTTCATATCAGTCACTGGCAAAAGGCTCTAGAAATAGGGAAACCATCTCACTTCTCCAAGAGTTATTCAAAGGATTATGCTGCTGGAGTTTCAGAAAATAAATTAATGTCATTTGCAGTGGGTAATTCATGTCAATTTTCATTTTATTCCAAATAACAGTAAAAGGCCAGTAGAGAAACTCCATATTCTACTTTTCCTCAAAAATCCTTCAGGTATTTTGTGACTAATCTGCAACTCTTGCCAAAGACTCTAAAATCCCACATGAACAAAGGTTGTAAATAGTTGTTGCTTCATCCTTTCCAGTCCTGAAAAAAATAAAATCCTTTTCCTGTCTCGCTCTTTACAACCAACTTAACAAGATTTAAGCTTTCATATATTCTGTTAATTATGAGAACACCAGAGATTTCGTATCAGTTTGAATCTACAAGTGGAATCTCAGGTTGTCTTGTAAATAAATGGAGACCCTGAGAAATGAGTTCATCAATTATGTAAATTAGACGCCTTGAAAACACAATTCCAAAAGCCCCTTAGGGCAAAAGATGATGTATTACCTCTATAGAATTTCCATTTTCTCCTCTTGAAGGTCCAGTTGTGTAAAACAGTGTGATCTTAAAAGGTCCAATACCCTTGAAATGCAGGTAACATTGCCAAAATCAGCTGTATAATTTAACTAAGATTTAACTAACTATATGCATACTTTATTAATTTATTATGACAATTATAGTCTATATATTATTTCATTTTTGTATTATATATAACCATAATGACAATTATATTTTATTTAGATATATAAAAATCTATTAAAGTGTAAAACCAACTAAAACTAAGTTTAGACAGAGTATAGCTGTCCAAACTTAATTTTAATTGGTTTTATACTTAAAGTCAGTTTAGGTTCCTGAAAATTTCACCTATGCTCTGTTTGACTGCATACTTTTATTGAGATGCAGAATTTCATCAGATGTCCTGACTGACTTTGGCTGGACTGTGGAGTCACTCCAGGGATATTTTCTCAATTGGCACCAAGTACCTGTAGAAAATTTGGGACACTTACTCCTAGGATAAATAATAACCCTTCCCTAAAAAGAACCCTACCACATACAATTTGTATTTTGTAATTTTGTAACAAACCTGGACTCAACTAAATCTTCAAGAAGATAATTAAATAAATTGAACTGTCTTGGCTTAGGGAGTGTAAGAAAACATCTTTTTCAAAAAAAAAGGAATATTTCTAGTATTTTTAGAACCTGGTAAACAAAGCAATTGCATTTCTTATGCTGACAGGGTCTTTGTGGGATGTTTGAAAAGCCCAGCTCTGCCTGTGCCAAAGAGCATTGTTTCTTAGAAAACAAAATCCAGGCAATTCCAGGAAGCAGCAGTCTGTCCATGTTCATACTCACTAACAAATTATTACTTTAGTTTGTTTGGAAAACAGTGTGAATGTGAATTATGGTTATGTTAAAAAAGAAAAGGACACCTCAGCAATTCTGCCTCTTCCCTCAGCCATCTGTATGGTGAATATTAAAATGATGCTTTGTCTCCAAAGGAGCCAGGCAAAAATCCAAGGCTCAGTATTTTTGCTAAACAGCAACACACGAAAAAATTATTCCACTAGTAGGGGTTTTTTTATGAATTAATTACCATGATCTCAGTATTCTTAGGGAAATTCTGCTTCCTGGCTGTCCCCTTCTTGATTCACACTGCTGACAGTGGTTCACTATTAGCATTTCTGCAAGAATGAAGTCAAACAGACCTTTTTTTGTTTAAAACACATCCGTTGTGTCTATAATTTGCAGCTGAAGATGGAAACCAAATGTTTTTGGGATGCTCCATGTGCCTGGAGGGTTTCTGAGCTGTCTTGTCTGCTCTTTTATTCTCCATCAAACTCGAGCTAAAAGGAGAACTTAAGCATTTCCATTTTGTGTCATTTCCGATGGCTGCAAATAGCGTTCCAGTGGCTCATGGAAAAGCAGGGGAAGGACCAAAGAAGCATCAGCTCATTAGTGCTGGAAACAGTGCTTGTGCACAGCCAGGCCATGCCATTCCTCTGTGACAGCCCTGTCTGATGGTGGCAAACAGAAAAAAGTATTTTGAAGGCCTTTTTTTCCGTTTCCAAAGTCATCCTTTGGTTTCCCTTTGCCTTTTTCCAAGAGCAGCATCACCAAACCTTGTGTTGCAACTCTGGTCCTTCAGCTCACTCTCACAGCCAAGGAATGTTCAAGTTTTGTAGCATTCTAAGCATTCTAAAAATTATCAGAGTCCAGAGTAGGGACATGGAAAGCAAAGAGACATGAATATAGGGGAGAATATTGCACCCACCTTAACAGTGGAATGGCAATATGAAAGCAAGTAACCCTCCAGAACAAGGAGAGGGATGAGATTTGAAAGTTTCAGTTAAATCCAGGTGTAAAACCCCCTAAAATGACATGTGTTAAATCAAGGCTTCATTTTGGACTGTAGTGACTACTTCTTGGCAGGAAATCTCCCTGCTCTTTCCATGTGGTTTTTTGCAAGCTCTGTTTTGTCAGCACAGAGCAGTGCACACCCAAAACCTGGCATCACTCAGATTTCCTCTGTAGGGATGAGTCCCACACCTATGAAGGCAGGTGTATGTTGTACATAATAAGGGAAATATTTTATGTCCAATGTTTTGCAGCTTATTTTGCATGTTGGATTCTGGTGTTAAAATTCTCCAGTGACTTTGTTGTGGATGTGTGCAAGAGGGGGAAGCTGCTGCTATTTTTAGTGGAATGGTATCTAAATAGAATAATGAAAAGCATTCTTGGCGCTTGAAGATATGCACAGCTTCTGTCCTGGCTGTAGTGCTAAAGAGGTGAAACAAAAGCAGGTCCTGATCCAGAAAATCACTCAGATTGTGACTGGTGCTCGCTGGTTCCTTGTCATGGCAGAAGCTGTTTGTGCCTCCGTGTGTCTCTTGTCCTGTTTGCCATTAGCTGTATCTCTTTAAACTTGCATTGTAATGCTTTCAGTTACTTTGTTTTGACATGAATGGCCAAAATTGATTTTGCTTTTGCAGAGATGTATATTAACATGCTCCCAGGGCTTTCTACAAGCTTCAATGAAAGAATTATAAATAGAAGAATTAACAGGGTTCACTAGAAGTTTAAAACAGATGGGGGATTGCATGAGATGTGGAGGGAATGCAGCAGGGAAGATCTGCTCAGTAGGATTTTGTTGGGTTTGCAGGTTGTCTCTTTGAAGGTGACTCTGAGGAGATCAGCTGATGTTATGAGGAGGGAGAAGTCACAGTGTGCAGGTGACCATTTATTGAAAGGGTTTTCCAGTTTTCTGTCGGGTCCTACTCAGTTATTCACTCTCCCATGTGAAACTTTCCTCTCGTGCCCTTCCAGCTCAAACAGACCTTGAGAATGTGCTGATTACACAGACCCAAACCAAACCACAGGTGAAAATAAGATGGGGAAATAAAATCCTATGAAGATCATTCACCATAAAAGGACATCATTAAGCTGATGAAATCATTCAGTTTTTCCATTATGAAATCATTCAGTTTTTCCATTATGAAATCTGAGTGGAATGGGAAGTGTGAGGAAACATTCTCTGCAGTAGCCACCAGTCACACAGGAAACAAACAGTGAATTGTTGTGTAATCACAGCAGAGCTCAAACAGGCAGGTACTCCCAACTGCACCCCAAGGCACTCTTCTGTCATTCCTGGTCCTTCAGTGACTTCCCAGGTTGTGCCTGGAGGAGGATTTGCTGCCCATTAATCTCCTTTTCCCCAGGGAGGTCTGATAGCCCCAGCCTGGCTCTGCAGAGCCCCTGTGTTTATTAGGAAGAGCCAGCCAGAGAAGAGCTTTTATCTCCCTCAAACGTGTTTTCCCCAGAAGAGGTTGTTTCTGAGTAAATCTCTTATCTTTTGAGCTATGTAAACTTTCTCTTACGAGGGAAAAGGCAATTTCTCCTTTTCCCCTTACACCACTGTTAATGGAAGTTGCAATCTGTATTTATAAAAATGACTTACAGTAGTTCCATAGCTTGCCTCTAGCAGATACCCAGCTGTCTCCTCCAGTTTTGAGCTGAGAGAATTAGCAGTGTTCTTTCCTTTGGAGATTTTGTAATTGTACAGATTTTTATACAAGTGATGTTCAGAACAAAAGCATGTAATAATTAATGTATTTTAGTAACACTGAAGTGTGATCTGAGGACTCAGTGGTGTCATACTGTTAGAGGTATTGCCAAAGAGTAATTTTGCTAAAAGGGGGGGGGGGGGGGGGAAAGCAAATTGAAACTCCTTTATGGCTTTATAATTCATAGTTTCTCACAGGGAGGCAGGAGTTCATGTGTGGATAGATGTTCTTCATAAAAGCTACAAGAAAGAAGCCCATTAATGCAGGAAAATAAATAGGTGTCTCTGGGTTTATCCTGATAGTGTATAAAGTAAATAACTCCCATAAGCCTGATGCCCTGACTTCTCCTTATAGGATAAACAACTATTCCTAAGTCCTGTATTTAGACTCCAAACATAGCTTTGCTTTAATTGGAAAATAAATAGTGTGTGTCAGAAAAATCGTTGACTTACATTTTGGCCACCCACATGGTGTGCAGCCTGCAGAAAAATTGCCCATTCAAGTCTGACCTGTTTTATACTACTGTAAATACCAGATCTGAGCTGCCTGAATCCATTGAGAATTACACAGGGAAATACCTCAGTGATAACAAAAAAGGGTTTGAGCTCTTTCCATCTTCTAAGGGAAATTTGTCACAAACTCACCTGTGTTATTTTTTCCACAGAGGGGTTTTGTGTGGAGGTGTTCTGGGGGCTGGGGAGTCATTGTGGAAAAGGGCAGAGTTTTCTACACCCAGAAATTTGGGTGATGGCCCAGGTTGAGAGGGAAGATTAGAATTAATGGCAATTTAATGATACAAGAAGTGTCTTTGGAGAGAGACTGTTTACAAGGGGATGTAGTGACAGGACAAGAAGAAATGGTTTTAAACTGACACAAGTTGAGCTTGGTTATTAGGGAGAGATTGATTCATGCTGAGAGGTCCAGGCACCAGTCAGGGGTTTCTGTTAACTGGGTTATAAAACACTGAGGGTGAACAGTGAGACTTGCCAACACAGATCTTGCAGCTGAATTCTCAGTTACTGATAGAGAAGTGTAAATAGAATTTCATTTCACCTTGTGTCATAAGTTTCGGTGGTTTATTTTGTTTTTTATTATCTATAAGAGCATAAGCAGCTCCAAAAATAACTTCATTCACTGGAAGGTAAGTCAGCATATTGGACTGCATTTGTTCCTAGAACTCTGTTGGGTTGACATTGAAGGCATGTCCTGCTAAATATTGTTTATTATGATCACAGCTTCCAGGACAGTAAATCACAAGTGATAGAACTGAGATTTGCTGAATATTGGAGAATTTTAAAGGTGGCTAGCACAGAATAAAGACAATACAGCCAGGGAACTTCTCTTCCCACAGTGACTTCTACTGGTTCCTTTCATATACACACACATATTTATATACATCCACACCATCTGATTTTCCAGCTACAACAAAGCATTGCAGTGGGCATGGAAATAGGGTGTAAAGTGCATTAATGTGTGCAGGAGCTGCTTGTGTGTGTTAATCTGATTAACCCAGCTGCACCAGCCACAAACACCTTGTACAATGTCCAGGACCTTCCTGAATTCCCTCCTTCCTTTCTATTTCCATTCCAATACTTACACAGGGGGAATGTCCTTAATGCAATCCCTGCATCAGGATCACCCAGAGCAAATTCTGGATGTGCCCAGGATGATTCCTCACTCACACAGCCCCACTGTGGAAATTCCACATTTCCTTAACATTCTGTTCCTCCTTTGGTGCCTGTTTTCCTCTCCTCCAGGTCTCAGTGTGTCCCTCTAAGGGGTTCCAAGGACTGTCCCTGCCCCCCCTCTCCAGTTTATCAGCTCATTTCCCTCATTGCTGTGGACACTGGGGTTTATTTGCAGTCCCTTGATACTTTTGTTTGCATTCTCTTGCCATTGCTGTTTAATGAAGGAAGTGATATTATGGTATTAGAAAAACAGTGTTTCCCTCTGCACAAACAGAATGAGGTCACTTTAGGTAAAAGAAAACCATCTTAATCACAGGAAGAAAATGTGTGAGAGAGATTTTAGACACGGAGAGCCAGCCAGCCTTTTCAGCCTTCTCTAACTTAATAAATTAATAAACAGCTGTTTGGCTTTTCAGATTTTCTCAGCAGTAAGTGTTGTTAATCAATTTTTAATGGAGCAATTAAAAAGATATGAAAGCTGCTATCCAGCTTTCACCAGAATAATTGATTTCTGTATAACCTTAACTATCTCAACTGTTCTGCTTCAGCATAAGAGCTCCATGTAGATAATATTAATAGATCCAACGGAAGTCAGAGGAAAACATAGCCATGTTTATTTTAAAACGTCTTCCAAAATGTTCCTGGCAACCTAGTGGCTCAAAAATAAGGCCACTGTGTATTTTAGATGGCAGGCATTTATTCTGCCTGCATATTTATGAGGAATGCAAATAAAAACCCATCTGAAATATCTGGCACCTAGGGCTGCAAATAATGCTTTCATAACTCTAGTAAGAATAAGCAAAGCAAAGCAGTAATTATTTGTCTTTAAACATCAGATCTGCTGAACTTTTCAGTTGAAGAATTCAAGTCCATAGCCATATTCTGCTTCTGTTTTCCAGGTAATTGCATTTTGTGATGTCGATGAAAAGAAAATAAGAAAAGGATTCTACACTTATGAGGAATCTGAGGTGAGTTATAACCACTCTTGCATTTTTTATTGTGATCTAGAAGTGTCCTGGGGAATGTGATGAAGGAATTTGTCACTGATCTTGTATGTTGTGTAGCAGCTCATTTCGGTAAAGAGGCTGTGACAGAAGATGGGAGGGCTGGGAATGGACACTGGAATGCAAACTGGAGCCAGGACTGTCAGCCTCACACTCAGTGAAGTCAGTTTAGAAAGACAAAAATACTTATTCTGAAAGGATTCTGATGATGGGGTAAAACAGTCTTCACTTACAGGTTTGTCTTCTAAATAGGAGTAGAATTTGGTTCATGCTGGATAATGGGAAGGAACCCTCAAAATTAAAAGTCTTCTAGCAAGTTATTGTGTGAAACAAATTACCCTGAGTTTGCCAGATCCTTGTATCTGATGGGAGTGGGACTGAGGGAAGGAGGGACAGGAGGGCCCCTCCTCAGGTACAGCCTGGAGTGGCTGTACAGTTCTACACCGGGAAAACACTGAGTGCTTTGAGCTGCATGAAAGCAGCTGGGACTCAGCATTTCAGCCTGGAATACTGAGGACTCACTGCCTAGCTGTTCAGTCATACTGTCAGTATGATTGACACAGATCCTAAAACAAACCCATTTTCTCAGATCAGTTGTAAAAGAAGATTGTACTGCAACTGTTCTGAATCCTTAGAAAATCCTGCAGCTTGGATCCGTGGTGAAGTCCCAGTTGAGTGTAAGCCCTTTAACAGCTCCCAGCAGGAGGGGAGGATCCTCCTCTGTCCCTGCTCTTGTGCCTGCTCTGATGCTGTCTGAGGGCACAGGAACTGATGCAGCTCACTAAAACGGCAAAAAATTAACCAAAAAAAGAGAAGGAACATAGTTTGTTATGGACAGGCTATTGAAGCTTGCCATCAGATCAAAGAGGGAATTGTGTGGGAAAGGGCTGGAAGCAGAACTTGGAGGTGAGGAGGAAGCAGTGGAGCAGAGAGCTCCAAATTCAGATTTAGGGTAACTTCACACAATTCACTGAAATGTGACAGGCACAGAAACAACGGGCAGAGAATGAGCAAGGTCTCTTTAGCATCATGGCTCAACATATTTTTTTCCCCTTTTAGAGTTTAGCAACTGTGAAACCAAGCTAGCAAATAATCTGAGTGCTTCTGTACTTCTCCCCTTCTCCCTGCAGGAGAGACCAAAACCAAAAATTCCTGTGTGTCACTTCAGGGACGCGACTCCGCCCTTTGTGATCTGTGTGAAGCTGGTGAGTTCCACCTTTGGCTCCATCTGCAGGAGCAGCATTTGCTCCTTAGTAAAATGAGTTTCTATTTCATGTAAGTGCCTTTCCCCAGAAGCTTTTCCTGTACAGTTGAATGGCTTTTTTTAATCAAATTGATTGTGCAGGGTATTTTGGGATTTAAATCAGCAGTATTGGGTAAAATTAAGAATAAGAAAAGGGACAGCTTCTGTGAAGGAGCTGGATCTGTTGTACTTCCTTGCCCAATACCAAATACACCCCAATGAGCACATGCACTCAGCCTCCTTTGGGCCAAGTATTTTGCAGCACATGTATGGCAAAGGCTTTGTTTTTACATCACACCTTAAAAGCCGTTTTGTTTGGCCCTGCCAGTTGTGAAGCATCTTCTGTATCTGACTGTGGCAACTTATTTCAACTGGTTTAATTGCCCTGGTAATATAATTAGAAGATGATAACCAGCAGTTCTTCTGTTGTTATAACACAGCAGCTTTAAAACAGCAACTAGATTGCAGTGGTGAACACAAATAAAAACCCCTCTGACAGCAACTAAAGCCTGCAGCTCCACACAACACTGACATTCTAACACTGTGCTGGATCTCTCCAGAGATGGATCAGCTGAATCTCCTCTGGTACAGTCTGCTTTTAACTTGGCACTCCCAACTTCATGATCAGCTCTGAGCTCATAACTCTGGGCTGTAAAGCCAGACTGAGAGTGCCTCAGGGCATTAGTGTGTACTGTTGGTTGATAAACTCTTGGATCAGCAAGTACTATTACAACTAATTTAATTTTTCATACTGCATATAACAGTGGGTGGAAGTCCCCAGACAAAACATCTGTGCAACCTGTTCTAAAGCACATTTAATCTGTGAAGCCCTTACAATGAGACTATTATACAACATCTTGTCTGCAAACTCTGGTCTCTGACTTCAGTTGGGATTTCAGTCTATTTTTCCCCTCATGGCCACTGAGCATTTTCTGCTTGCTTATTCTTTACCAGCCTAAGTTCATCACCATTTTCTGAAGAAGGAAGTGTGCTTTTAGGGGCTTTATTGGCTTTTATTTTGCTGTTCATGGTAGGGGATTATTCTTCCTTTTGATACAGACAAAACCTGCATGTTTCTGTGCAGCTCTAAGAGGGTGATTTTGGAGATTAGGTGTGTTTATTAAGTGGGTTGTTTACAAGAAGTGACTCTGTTGGCCATGTACTTTGGAGCAGCTTTGGCTCATTTATTTTTTCAGACAGTTCCTCCCTTGTGAGCACTGACATAGCTTTGGTACCAGAGCAAATCCTTCTGCAAGAAGCAGGCATCCTCTGATCTTTGCTCAGTTTGCATTTTATAATGGCTTCACAGACAGCTGGAGCTGGAATTCTGCTCTGTGTGTGAGTTTTTGCTGAAGAGAATGGAAGTGTGGCTTTAGCAGTTCAGAGCAGCCTGGCCCTGCAGGGCCACTTCACCCAAGGGTTTGTGCTCCCTGTTTGCTCTCACTTGGAGGTAGAAGCAAAATGCTTAGAAATGCTGCATTGTGCCCTGGCTTGGCTTGGATTCCAATGGCTGGAAATGAAAGGGATTTGTATTTTTCTGTCACAGTAATTAAACTAGTTTGATTGTATGAAGTTTTCAGAAAATTTGGGGTTAGATCTCTTATTGTACAGCCCTGCCTGGTTTTTCCTGTGCTCCCGGAATGAAAGATTTGTCTTTAACTCTCCCACTTAATTTAGCATCTGGTCTCTTATGGTTTTTTTAACCCCTCTATTAAGCAGGTTCTTTTCTCCAACGCCTTCAATTCCAATTTCACTGGGACTTCATTTCTGTAACATCCCATCCTAAACATTCACAGTTAAAACTTCACTCCTGCTGTTCTGGGCCAACCACACAAACACGAGCAACTGCTTTATCCCCCACCTGTGGTGCTGTCAGTGTTAATTTTGGTTTGATTTTTTTTTTGTGACATTCCTTAGGATTAGTAATTAAAGATTCCAGGAAGACCCCAGTGCTCAGGAATGCTGAAGTTGCCCTGTTTATTTAATGACATCACTGAGGTTGCTCATGGACCAAATGCCCCCAGTTCCTCTCCTGGTAACTTGACAGGGGCTCAAAAGGAAACACCTTTAACTCTGCACAGTACTCCATCTGCTTGATGAAGGGCTTGTTTTATCAGACAACCTTATCAGTGCCCAAAATCCACCCAAACCACTTCTTTTGTCCAAGTCACTCCCTTGGTCCATCTTCTGCCAATGTCTGAGTTAGCAAGCACAAGAGCTGAGGACCAGAGCTGAGGAGTTCTCTGATATCCCCCACACTGATTTGAACACTAACTTTCCAACATATCCTGAATTTTTGAGTAAAAATGTTCCTGAGCCTTTGTTTATTTGTTGAGTTCTGCCAATGGGACTTTCTCTGTGGCCTAAAGAATCAGTAACCCAAATGTGTTATATCCTGAAATTAGTTTGATCTCATTTTGTTGTTCTTCCCTGGCAGGACTTGACAGGCGGAGCCTTTGAAACAAACCTGAGCACGCTGAACCTGAAGGAAGGGATGGATTATTATCACTTTAACTAAACCAAGGTGAGGCAGTGCTACTGAAGAGTGCTGCTCTCTGTGTAGCTGGGTGCAGGAAGACCAAATTCTTCAGGGGTTTAGAACTTTTCAATCATTTGTGCTTTGTTGATTTAATCTTTGGGCTGAGTAACCCCTCTGTAAGGGAGGTCATGGTTACACCAGGGTAATGCTGTGTGCTCAGTTCCACTGTTGCACATCACTCAGTTTGACTTTTAAATTGTGCTTCTGATTTAAACACCCACCAAGCACAGGCCACTGGGTTACCAGAGCAGTGTTGGCACAGGGAAGCCTCAGGCAAAGCCTGGAGCACTGCAAGTGCAGAGAGTTTTGTGTCACACCCTGCTTGGAGCCCTCAGAGAGCTGCTGGTGTTTCCCAGGGCTCTGCAGAGGGCCAGGGTTGGTTTTTGGGAGCATCCTCAGCTTTGGGGCTGTGTCTGTGGCAGCACCTGGCACCCAGGTGAGCCCTCGTGCAGCTCCTCACCCTCTCCACTGCACCTTGCCCTGCTGGAATACTCAGGCTGTGCCAGCACAGCTTGTGCTGTTTTTGCATCAGGGTGTAACTTTACAACCCCAAATCTCTCAAGAATGTTCTAGAAAGCTCCCTTTGAGTGGCAGTGTAGCAGCACAGGGGCTGTGGGTGAAGGAGCATTTCCTCCTGGGGTGTGTGCAGCTCCTGCCAATATCAACTCTGCTCAGTGGGAGTTCAGAAATACTGGATCAACAGTGAAGAGCCCTGAGCTCCACGAATTCCAGCTGCCAGTCCAGCTTGCAAGAATCCTTAAAAGTATTGAATAATCTCATTTTAGTTACTTTCTTCAAAACCAAACAGAATCTGAGCCAGCCAGGTTGGAGCATTGGAAGTGAACACCTGCAGTTTGCAGCATTTACTTCACAGAGAAACTGGATTGGTTTTAGTTTCTCTGCCTGAATTTTTCCTTCCTTTCAAATTTGTAGAGCTGTGACTATATACACACATAGCCACTGTTCAAGTCTTGGGATAGTGGGATTTAATTACAGCCATAAAATAACAATGTAATTACAATATGATTTGGCCTCCCCATTGCATTGATCTCACTAAAGATCAATTTTGGAGCTATTTCATTTTGTAGGGGGTAAGAAATGAGCTGGATTCCTGGCAGCTGCTTGAAGAACTGACTCATCTTCTTCAAAACTGAGTTTACCACAAAACCAATTTGTCTGAATTAGTTACATAAAGAGTTGTTATGAGAGGCTTTGACAGCAGTTGAAGTGAAACCTGGGGTTTTTTGTTTGACTATAACACAGGAATGACAGACTTGTCCATGGGGACACTTGATGCTCAGGATGATTTCAGTATCACTGAGTGTTGCCATTCTCACCTCTGAAAAATAAATCTTGAAGAGCCCAGTGCAGCAGGTCAGGTTTATTTCTTGGTGTGTGTACAAGCACAGGCTCTGTTCAGCCAGGGAAGTACAAACCACTGACACCAGACAGGTCAGTGTGACAGAGCATGACAAGAACCTGCCAGACAGCAACATTAAAAACTGAAAACAAGGAATTTTGGTTGTCTTCCTGTGGCACATCTGTGATTTCAGACAGGCTCTGCCTCTCCTGTGCAGCAGTGCAGTCCTCAGCTCTGCTGAGATCCAGCACGTGGGGCTGCCACAGCTCAGCCTCCTCCCATCCTGGCAGCACAGGACCCACGAGCTCCAGGACAGCCCAGCAGCCAGGGCCTGCTCCTCCTCATGCTGAACTCTGCCAGACAGAAAGGAAAAGGACAGGTCAGATGGAGCAGGCATCACTGCCCTGGCACTGTCCCAGCCATGTAATTAACTGACCTGAGCAGAAAAGAAAATACAAAGCTGTAATATTTAGTCCTTTTAACACCAAGATTTGAACTACCCTGCAAGTTTCATTTGTACAAAATTTAAAGGAGTACAAAGTGTTGATTTCAGCTCAAGCCAACTTCATTCACCTTTTTATCCTGCCATGCTTGCTCTCCTCTCTGGCTTCTCCCACTTGTGCCAAGCTGAATGCTGGGCACTGCTGGGAGCAGCACTGGGGACATGGGGACAGCTGGGACAGCCCCTCCCCTTCAGTGGCACCCTGAGCTGCAGGCTCAGCTCTGTGCTCAGATTTACACTCACTGTTTGTTCAGGGGAGCAGGAGGTGAAGTTCCAAACTGAGCACCAAACATCCAGATCCCACCTGTACCAGCTCCATCAGAGATACCTGCATGTGCACTTGGATATTTCTCTTTATTTTGTTTATCCTAGAAACAGTTTTCTCCTAAAGGATCAGTCTTATCTCAACCTTCAATAACTAAGGATTAAAATAAGGAGTTTTTTGAGATCAGAGAGTTCACTTTGTAAGAGCTCTTATTTTAAGCATAATCTTTCTATTACTTGATTAGAAAACCTTTAAAAGCAACACTCAGGTCTGTTTTTATTCTAAAACCAAGTCCTTGCCTGGGCAGGAGGTTCAGACTCTTGTTTTCCAGAATTAAGAAATGTTAGCCGAGGTTTCTTAAAATTGTACTAAAAGCAGATGGTGAAAATTGAAAAATGAGTGAAGAAACTGCTATGAAGGCAGCAGGAGGTCTTTGAAGGGTATTCACAGTGTCTTAAGTATGAGTCTTTAAAGAAAGATAAATATTTATATATACACAGCAACACATATTCTTTAAAATACTAAAAACCTCTTCTAGAACCCCTACCAAAGCAGAAAGTTCTGTACTTCTGAAATACTGAGCTGGGTGGGCATGTCCAAACTATCTAAAAATATACATTATATATACATATAAATATATCTACTTTATGGTTTTGTCTGCTATTCATCCACAGGGGCAGTGCTGCAGTCCTGTGGTTTGCACACCACCTCCTGTCATCATCCTGCTGTTGAAATGGAGAAGTTCCTGTCTTTTCCCTTTCCCCAGGAAGGGCAGAGGAGCAGGGGCTGCACATCTGTGGCTGGAATGTGGCGCTGCCAGCCTGGAATGCTCTCTGGAATGAGGCTGCAAGAGCCCCAGGCAGCAGCTCCAGCCATCCCACATGTTCTGCAGCTGGCTGGGAACATCCTCAGGGACACCTCCATGAACCAAGCACCCGTGGGGCACATTCCCACCTCACCTTGGCCACCAGCTGGGGTCTGGGCACTTTCATGAGGTCACAGAGGCAGTTGCGTCTCTCCCTCACCACGGGCAGCTCTGCTTCCCTGCGAGAGCAGAAGTTGTTTCCAGTGAATTCAGACACATCCATACACGTCCCTAAGTGATCCATGCCCCCCTGCATCACAGTGGGTGTGTCCTTTCATGCACATTTCAAATTGTAGGAGTTTCTGTTGTGTCACATCTGAAGACTAATGGACCATTTTTGTACCACCCTAAGTCAGATAAACCACAACTACACACCAGAGCTGCCACAGTGGATAATAAAATGTCCAAGACTATTCTTTTATAGAGTTTTATATTTAAAAACCCCACTTATTTGATTAGAAGTTCATTTAATTTAGTCTCCAAAATGACTGGATTTGGAGAAGACTCTCCTATCCCCTCCATAGAGAAAAAACAAGTAAAGGGTGAGTTAGAAATAACTTCAATCTTTTTTTTCCACACCTTGGACAATCTGTCTTATTTACTACTGGAAACCTTCCTATGGCTAAACAAAATGTATTATTTATAGAGTAATTTGCTTAAACTCTGCATGACACAATTGTATGATAAAGTCTCTGGAGTCCCAACAAGGAAAATATGTGTATTGCAGTAATTACCATATTCCTTCAAATTCTCATTTGGCTTCCTGCTGCTAATACTTAGGGTAATCCAGAATTTAAACTGATTATTTTAGCACTGGGAGAGCTTGAGGAAAACAAGCAGCTCACTGTGACACTCAGCAACAACTTGAAATCTCTTTTTCTGTGAACAGCTCAAATCTACCAAGATATAACAATGAAGATTTGAGTAAACGAGCTCTTTGTCTTTCCTGCAGAGCAATGGCCATAGTGCAGCAGGGTACTCATGGCTTGCTCCAAGCCACAATAAGCCAGGCACACCCTAAAAATGACAGGGTGAAAACAGAATATTCATTTTTCTGGAGCGTTTTTCTGGGGAAGTGTTTTGCTTTGATTTAAGAACCCAGTAGTTTATGAGCAGAGCTGAACTGCTTTTCCTGTACCACTGTGGTGCTGGAACCTGGAACCATCCCTTGGTGACAGCACTCAGCTCATCCTGCTGCAGTGTCAGCTAACAAATTCCTCATGTAATTCCTGAGCAAGCTGCTCTTAAATGCAGGTTCCTAATGGAGCTCTGAGTCACACCCAACCCAATCCTAAACTTCCTCGTGCAGTTCAACAAGGAATTGTAACCACAGAACTCCTTCAAACCTGAGACTCTTATTCTAATTTTGCACCGGAAAATTCAGAAAAAGAGCACCCCTCCTAATGATAAACTCAGCTTTCTTTTCAAAAATACAAAGTTCTTTAAGGTCAAGCACAGAAATAAACTGGAAACGACATAAAAGTCAAGCAGTGTAACATGCAGTCTGCAACTCTGTACCTTAAGGTGTATTTGTTCTTTGAGCTTGTCTGGGATGAATTTAGTTCCATGAAATGTCAATGAAGACAAAAAAACATTTAATGTAATGACTAAATAAATTATATATTTTTCTATATTTGCCTGTTCTCTGTGACTGCTGTTTGGGGCAGCAGCCCCATGGCCCTGGTCTGTGACAAGGAAAAATGTTTACAAGGCAGCAAAACTAATAAACTAATTATTATCTTAAAATTCTGTGTTTTCTCACATCTCCCAGGCATGCAGCCTTTTATCAACCTGCCCAGGTGATGATAATGCCCAATGCTAGAAATTGCAAAAAGGGGAAAATCCGGTGCCAAAATGCTGGTTCCCTGCTCCTGTCACTGCAGAGGTGCTCATGGAATGATTCCTTTGCTCTAAAAGTCACTTGATCATCTCATGCAGAACAGGACCCTCTCCCCCTGCCCCTGGAAGAAGGTAACAGTACAGGTAAGAGTAGGTAAAAAAAATGAATTGCATTCTGTGAAGTGGTTGTTTAATTCATGCCATCCTATGCCTGGGAAACATCTAAAATGCTCCAATTCCAAATCTTTGCTTGAATACAACGCTTGTAGCATGTTGAGTAATTACATTTCATGGGAGATTTGAGCTGTTCTGCTAATTCTGTTGTTTTCCAGCTTGCAGAGATCCTTCCTTTCCCCAAATCCTGCCAGTGCTCATAAATGCCAAGAAACTGTCTGTACAGTTGAAGTTTGACTGTTTGCACAGCCCAGTCTCTGGTTCATGGAAAACTTCCAAGATTTCCTCCCTTTTTATGTTGTTAGAAAAATATGGGTATTTTACTTTATCTAATGGTGATTTTATACATCCCCCTCCTGCCAGTGGGCCAGTATCCTGGAGAGTTCTTTAGAGCAGAGGAATTCCTTGCAGCAGTGCTTTCCTGGCTGGAAGCAATAAAGAGCTGAACCTAGGCTATCACTTCTTACACTTCCTCCCCCCAGCTCTCCAAGCACTGAACGTTGTTAACTCCAGGGCCCAGGGGCTGTTTTGGGGCAGCCCTGCACTCACCAGTTGGTGTCACTGAGGATGGCCATGGCCTGCTCCACGATGGCCGGGTCCCCCACGTCGCTGTAGGTGAGCAGCATCTCGTACACCTGGCTGGCCGTGGTCTTCCGGACCTGTGGGAGGGGCAGAGTCAGCAGAGCCACAGAACCACAGCCAGAACCACAGCCAGAATCACAGCCAGAACCACAGAACCACAGCCAGAACCACAGCCAGAACCACAGCCAGAACCACAGAACCACAGCCAGAACCACAGCCAGAACCACAGCCAGAATCACAGCCAGAGCCACAGCCAGAACCACAGAACCACAGCCAGAACCACAGAACCACAGCCAGAGCCACAGAACCACAGCCAGAGCCACAGAACCACAGCCAGAGCCACAGAACCACAGAACCACAGCCAGAGCCACAGAACCACAGCCCCAATCAGAGCCAGAGCCACAGAACCACAGCCAGAGCCACAGCCAGAACCACAGCCAGAGGCACAGGCAGAGGCACAGAACCACAGCCAGAGGCACAGGCAGAGGCACAGGCTACTGAGCTGCAAGGGACCCCCAGGGATCACCCAGCCCAGGACCATCCCCAGCAGTCACAGCCAGTGCATCCCTGGCAGGCTCAGCCTGTGCCCATTCCCTGGGGAGCCTGGGCAGTGCCAGCACCCTCTGGGTGAAGAACTTTTCCTGTTATCCAACCCAAACCTCTCCTGGCACAGCTCCAGGCCATTTCCCCAGTCCTGTCTGTGGTCACCACAGAGCAGAGATCAGTGTCTGCTCCTCCTCTTTACTGCACCAAGGTCTCCCCTCAGGCCCCTCCAGCTGAACACCCCAAGTGCCCTCAGCTGCTCCTCCCACAGCTTCCCCTCAAGGCCCTTCAGCATCCTCATGGCTCCTTTGGGTGCTCTGATCCCCAGGGAAGAGCCCAGGGCTGCTCCTGGTGCTGCTCCCTCACACTGGCTGCTGCCATGGTGAGGGGACACTGAGTCCACTCCTCTGACAGGGATTTCCTGCAGGAAGGGACCTCATGTCTGCACCTCAGGGAATTTCATGTCTGCACCTCAGGGAATTTCATGTCTGCACCTCAGGGAATTTCATGTCAGCGCCTCAGGGAATTCCTGCTCCTACACTCAGTGCAGTATTTCCCTTTTGGAAGGCCACACCTCTGTCCCTCACAGGGAAGGAATTCAAATATGTGAGACTGGCCCAACTGGAAAGGGCTCAGCTTTGCCAAAGGAATTACAGGGTTATTTCTGGACCCAAATCAAACTGACCCATCTGTAAAAATGAAACACATTTGTGATGTAAAAAACCACAGAACTGAAATGCTCTCTCTCCATTTCTTACATTGTGTCCCTCCTGCAAAGGATTCCTCATGAAGGAAGTACACACAACATGGAAATGGAATAGAAACCTGAAGTACCAAACTTTGCAGGGTCAGGGCTCCCAGGTTTCTGCAATGAAAAAAAACCTAACCCCAAGCCTTCCTAAGTCAATGCAGATTTTAAAGGACTAGAATAATATCATCACACATATCATCTCTTGTACATACTCAGATTTTTGTGTCCTGTTAGTTATAGGAAAAAGGTAAAAAGTTTTCTAAACCTTCCTGTACTGCACCAGCCTTTTGTCACACCTGACAAAAAATGTTTATTTTTCTTGAATCAGCCCTACTCCAGTCTTGCTACTCTCAGAAATGTCACAGAACTGAGAATAATCTTATCTAGTTGCAGCTTTCAGCACTGAATGGTGAACAGGTCTTCCCAGAAACAAATGGCTGAAGCACCTGCATTGCTCCCAGTTTAACCAGTAAGGCCAGGAGGTGGAAGGGCACAGCCAGGCACATGGCTGGCAGCCAGTAGCCTGGCTCAGGGAGCAGATCCTTGAGAAATAAAGCCTGTTCTATACATTAATACCTTCTAAAGAGAATGCTGCTTTAATACACTTTGAATTATTTTTCATTTGTAAAGTATTGCAAAGAATAGAGTTGATAATGTGCAGCCTTCAGTACTTACTATAGGAAATGGATGGCAAAGGAGGAGAAACAACTGGAACAAAACTTTCTCTTTCATGTCTCCTTGAAATTGAATCAGGCCACAAAATCTAGAAAATATCAGAAAAAAACAGATCTTGTGTTATAACTGTCCAAGCACATTTTGAGGACTAGGATGAAGGTGGACATCAGGAAAAAGGCAGGGAGGGGAAGCTGTGCTCTCTTTCAAAGAAAAAGTGAATGATTCCCTTCAAGCATCTTTAGGACTATAACAATTTTAAAACTTATTCAACTTTCTCAGCTCATATGTTTCACTTCAACCATCCAGAACTATGAAACTCTCACAACCTTCACTCACATGTATCTGTGTGTATTTTCTATTTCAATTCCACATGAACCAGACCTAACTGCTACATGTGGCAGGTAAATATTCTTCACTTGCTAGAGAAAAGATCGATTCCATTGACTCACACTCCTATGCTGGAGCGAAGCTTCCGGATGTCTTTGGACCTTCTGATCTCTTCTTTACAGAGGGTG